TCGATGTTTGTTTTGCTTAAGCAATAGAAGGACACTATTCACCATCAGTCACGGCGGCCGTATCCCAGAAAAAATTGCTTTTTATTTGTTTTAGATTTGTCCTAGACGATTTCTTAGACATCAATTACCATTGATACGCCCTCAAAGGTGGCATCCTCTTCACACGCTCTCAAGTTTCTCTTCAGAGCACCCGGACCAATGACAGCAGTCGAGTCGACATTCGAGACCGTTCAAGCTATCTGAAAACCCTCTGAACCGCACACATAGTAATTGCAACTATCATTCTTAAAAGTAGCTCTTGAACCGACCCCATAGACGCGCAGTGTTTTAAAGCGCAGAGTGGGGCCGAATTTGTTTTCCTCATTCGTACAACCCTCGACAACATTGGGGCAAATCATTTGTTTTGCTTCTTATTTATCAAGGGCGTGGTAGCAGTCTCTAAAGCGGATGACCCTTCGATAGGAATTTCGCTTACAGTGCCATAGGGGATGCAGCTGGCGGTAGGGAGAATACCTCGAAGCAACTTTATACCCATCGTCCTAACAGCTAAATAGAGAGGGTGCTAGCTGTTCCTTTCAGTAACCTCAAGCCGCATCGATACGGCTTCAAGCTATTTATGTTGTGTGACGCAAAGACCGCGTATTGTTACAGTTTTTTTTTTAGCTTTTTGCTATGTCGTAACTTACCGGTTAGAGCGGATGCTAACATTTCTGATGTCGTAACTGTAGTAGATTTAAAATTTATGTGGGCAAGTGTAAAAATGTAGATGGGGTGATACCGGAATTGATTACAAGACTGGAGCAGCAGCCGTCTTGCGGAATCTGAAGACGGCGCTCACTCCCCAATCGCGACACAGCTGGCATGCTGTCCTCATTGACAGATATTACGCCTCCTTTCTCCTCGCTGTCGAGCTGCGGAAGATGAACGTTTATGTGGTTGGAACAATCATGACGAACCGCTTGGGGTTCGACAAAAGCACCACGTCAGTGAGCAAGACCCGCCCATCAAGCATCCCGCGTGGCGCATTTGTCTTCTCGCGCCCTGTCGCGGTCCCCACCATGATATCATGCCTCTGGTGGGACCAGAAGCCAGTCTGCTACCTCTGCACGGGCTCTGCCATGACACCGACCACTATCGAGAGGAAGGTAAAGCGCGTGGGCGCGATTCAAGTGGGGTGCCCTCAGTCTGTAAAGGACTACCAGAACTGGATGAGCGG